TTAGTTAAATAAAAATATATTAAAATTAGTTATTTTTAGTTTAAAACATAATAATATTCATATTTAGCTTTTTTATTTAATTATAATAAGCTTTTTTAAAAAAATTTTGATTAGTTATTTTTATTTCTTTTAATAATAGTTTAGTTTTTTTTTTATAAAAATTATTATATAGACTTTTTTTGTTTTAGGTTTAAAAGTTCTAAGTTTTTTTTATATTTTTTTAATTTTAATTGTTTTTAAAATAATTGTTTTATTTTTAAAAAATTGTTTTAATATTTAATAATATTTTTTAATGCTTAATTATATTAATTAGTATTTTTTTATATTTTTAGGTCTATATTTTATTATTTATAATTATTAGCAAAAATTATACTAATAAAAATAAATTATTTAGCTAGATTAATTATTATTTTTAGATTTTTATTAATAATTTAAAATATTTAGTTTTTAAATTATTAATTATTAATTTTTATAATATATATTAAATATTTATAAATTTTACTAATTATTTTATTTTAATAGTTATAAAACTTTTAAAGTTTAATTAAACAAACTATTTTTATTTTTAATTATTATTTAATTTATTATATAAATTTATAATTAATTATTAAAAAAATATAAGCTTTAATATTATATAAAACTAAAGTTTTTATTTTAATACTATTAATTTATAATTAAATAAATATTTTAAAAATAATTTATTTATTTTAATTATATATTTTAACTAAAATAAATAAAAAAATTAATACAAAAACTTTTATTAGTTCTATTTATTTTCTAAGTTAAATAAACTATTAAAGCTATTTTTATTATAGATTTTTTTTGCTAATTAAATACTTAAAACTTTAAGCTTTTAATTAAAATAATTAATTAATAATTTTTTTTTTTTTTATAAATAATATTTATTTTAATTATTTTAAAATAAATATTTTAAAACTTTTAAAATTAACTAAAAATTAATAAGCAAATTTACTAAAAACTTAATTAATTAAATTAGATTTTTATTTAATTAAACTAATAAATTTAATTTATTAATAATTTTTATAAGTTTATTTAATATTATATATTAATTTAATAATTTTATTAATAAATAATTTATAAAAATATTTAAATTTATAAAAACTTTATATAAATTTTTTTTTAAGTTTATATAAAAATAGTTCTATAATTTATATTTTTATTAGTTTTATATATATAAATTTAAAATATTTTATAAATAATAATTATTTAATTAAAATTATAATAAATTATTAATAAAGTTTAAATTATTTTAATAATATTTTTATTTAGTTTTTTTATTAGTTTATAAATCTAATTATTAAATAAAGTTTTATTTTATATAAACTTGCTAAAATTAGTTTTTTATATTTTAGTTTTTTTAATATAAGTAAAGTTTAAAATATTAAAAAATAAACTAATAAAATAAAAAGTAAATAAAATAATAAAACTAAAAAATTTAAAATTAATATTTTTAAATATATTTATTATTATTAAATTATAGTTATTTTTTAAAAATATTAAAATAAATATATTAAAAAATTAATACTTTATTTTTTTATTTATTAAAAAAGTTTTACTAGAACTAATATAAAATTATAAACTTATATAGCTATAATATCTTTTAATATATTTATAAATATATTATTTATTTTAAGTTATTTTAGCTTTAGTTTAAAATTTTTTTTTTATAAAAAAAAAGGATTTTAAAATTGTTTAATAATAAAAAGCTAGCTATATTTAAAAATTAAAATTATTCTAATTATTTAAAAACTAAAAATAAAATAAAAATATTTAAAATTAGGTTTTTTATAAATTATTAATTTTTAAGTACTATAAAAATTAAAAGTTTTATTAAAATTATATTAAAATTAATTTTATATTATAAAATATATAATTTTTTATATTAAATATATAATTAAAAAAAAATTTATTTATATTTTATTAATTATAATAAAATAAAAATTATATATTTATTAAATATTTATTATTAAATAATTAGTAAATTTAAAGTAATATTATAGTTAGTTTATTAATACTATAAATAAAAACTTTAAACTAAAAAAGAAAAAAAAAAAAAAAAGTCAAAGTTTATAGGGTAGGTAGATATGGACTCTGTGTGTGTGGCTGCAGAGTTATAGGTTGGTCCGTGCGTAGACTTCTTATCTTATCGCTATGTGGGTCTGGAGTCCTCTCGGGTCTCGCTAAGACTGTACTGACCATCACAATAGGCTGTATGGGCTATATAGGCTATAGGCTGTATAGGCTGTATAGGTAGGTAAGTATAGGTAAGTCAGTCAGTATAGGTAGGTCAGTCTGTCTGTATGGCTAGGTCCGTATAGGTAGTAGGGCTATATTGGCTACGAAGGGCTGTATTAGCTGCAAGGGCTATATTAGCTGTATGGACGGGCTATAAGGGTTAGAAATAGTCAACCCTAAAGATTTTCAACGTTTACAAGCCTTTTAGCATTAGTATTAAACACGCATTAAAAAGATTTTAAATATTGAAATTTTTTAAACATTAAAACTTGTTTTAACGTTTATATTCGTTAATAGTAATAAATTTAAACGTTTATAATATTAAATAATAAATCGATTATTTAAATTATTTCAACTATTAACCAATAGTTTACTCAACCCTGCTTGTTTTAGTACGGAATGTAGCTTATATTGTTAGTATGCGTATGGCTGAGTCTGTCAATATAGCTAGAGTAACCAAGTATCTAAACCCTATGCGTAGGTAGGTAGCCAACAGAAAATCTATACCTATTCTAGCTTAGCACACTTCGGATAAAGCTTGAAGAACAGCTAAGTTTATAACACCCAGCTTACCAAGCATATACAGCTTAATACAGTACCTAGGTGCAGATCAAACGAAAATCAAATGGCCCCCAACTATTTGAACACGAGCGGCAAGTTCCACCGATCGTTGCCCTCAGGTGATTCGGTGCTTCTAATTTGAGGATAAATTTATATAGCAAGACAATGTGCCCTAACATCCTACATTCGAGACTAGGGACGGCACCTGCTGTATTGCTAGGGGTATGTTGCATTGCATGCACCCATGTGAGTCGACATCTTCAAGCTTGCCTATAGATAGAGCAGTTACAAACGAGTGATTCTGCGAGGAAAACTCTTAATCGTTTTTCCTCCCTCGCAAGTCATTTAGAAAACGACTTTGATTCAATTGCGTTCGGCGAAACAACGTTTTATGATCCCACTAGTAACGCTCCGTCGAGATTATTTCCATGGGCAGAAAGTAATAATACAGATACCGGTATTATTTAAATGGCCTTCAAGTCAAACTCAATCCCTCAAGACTGAAGCTCCTTGCGGGGTGAGCTTTCCTCTATCTATTCGGGAAAGACGGGTCTATCTATATCTCTTCCCGAGTGAATAATATGGATTCCAGTGATTTGAAGATAACGGGCAGCACTCCCAAGAAATCGTGGATATCTTGCTCTGATCTATTTTGCAACTGTTCACTAGTAGCCACGCCCGGCTCAGAGAACGGTTGCGGGGTATGTCATGACGAACGGGCCCAGGCCAAACTCGACGTGGGATGATCGAGCACATTTCTCGAATCCAACCGACATCAGCTTTAGCATTTCGATGGTGATGTGTCAGAGTGGGTTAGGTCCAGAGTGAATAGAGAGTCTCATCTGCAGCTGGGAAGCAGGTAGGTAGTTAGGGCTCAATAGAGTGGTCAATTGATTCCTGAACCTTCCCAAATATCTAGGGGGGGCAACACCAATATATATATACAGAATACTGATATATCCACTCCCATAGGGTAGTGTAATATATATCCCTGACATGATGGGCGTGCCGTGGGATGTACACGGGCGGTCGTTTGAATCTTACAAGGGTTTCGATGGCAATAATCAATGGACTGGATTTAACCGTATTGTCTTCAGTGATTTACGTCCGCGTGGCCTGGTCCTGGCTCACTTATCCGGCCTTAATCCTTGTGGCCAGCATTACAGTCTCCATCATCACTATAAGAAATAGCATGAGATCGAGATGTGGGTTGGTTTGGGGAAACGGGACGTTGGCATTGTTGCTTTGGGCCATCAGCATTGCGGCCAAGGAAGGCCAAAGGGTCATGCGAATCTAGCAGTAAACTATTTAGAATCGATTGGGAAAATTCCGGCTCGGTTAGAGGGTGATGAATCAGGGTGGGTATTTCAAACAGCAGGTTAAGTAACAAGTGCGGTATTACGATTCGACCCTAAGTCATATGCTCTTTTCAGTAGGCTTTCGAAATCAAATTGATTTGAGATTTATACCTTCCTACCCTAATGTAAGGGACACCGGCCTCAGTCCCAACAATGTTCCCCGGCTGCTCCAGGGCTTACTGCTACGTATAATAAGATACATAGGTTGTATGCGGTGAGCTATCTCGCGAGTTAGGATCAATTGTTGACAGCGCGAATTGGATTTCGCTCTTTAGCTCATTTACTATATCTAATGTGCAGGATGCCTTAGGTAGCCAGTAGATCTCCCATGATATATGCCTAGCTCCTCATCATGGCAGATGTAGCTTCGCTCCAAACATGGACCGGACTGTATTCTTTTCGCCTAGGGAAGTACCGCACCCCCCGCCAGACCTAGGCTTTAGTGGTCGCCTCTTGTGTATCGCAAGAAAAATATATATTGTGCAATTTTGAAGCGCTGAACGGACTCTGCTCACCATTCATCCGAACATTCATCACTTATGACAATAGTAGGCGAGTCTAGATAGGTTAGCTGCAATCAGCATTACAGAAGTGCAATGATGATAATTCCGGCCCTGTTGACAAGCACGCGGATGTGAATGAATGTTTATGGGTCCATACAAATAAAATCAGAACTGCTCTTGTACCTCAAGCTCAGTTTCCAACCTTTACTACATCGAGAACATAGGTATTCACGTATGTAGTTGACAACTAAACTTTCGACATACCGCTTGTCCTAATTCTTTGCTCATGAATCCAATTCTGAACCTATCAAGAACACATCGGGCCTCTATGGCGTAGTGGTAGCGCGTGTCACTTGTACAAAATTCACAGGAATGACAAGGTCTCTCGTTCGATCCGGGATGGAGGCAGCTTGATCTTTTTTGCAGAGCCCTAATTAACTACATGGCCAACATTTTTTAACTGTCTACTTAGTACTAACGAAGAGCTTGATAAGTATGTGGTAGCTGAAAGTTCCTTCTAGCAACCTAGTGTTACGTGATAAAAAGGGTATTAGTGGATCGATGGAATACAACCAATAGGATATATTCATTAAGACTATCCTTTGATAGACGATCGGACAGGACTAATGCAGTCGCGCCTTGAGAAGAGACACCCAATGGTTCCGGAAAGGCCCAAAAATACGATTGAGAAGACCCCCGGGTACCCAAGAATTTTAGGATGGGCAGTAGGGCTAGACGTAGTAAGGAGTCGCCTTCAATAATAGGAGCTTATGAACGAACACTTTATTAAACGGTAGCTACTTATCATGGCGGGTATAGCGTTGACATAAAATGCTGCGCTTGCTAGTATGGGGAATAAGATGTAGTAGACATAATGTGAAGAAAGCACGCACAGAACAGTCTTTACTGTGTCTACAATTTGCTCTCGTCACGGATGCGTGTATAAGCGTAATGCCATCCCTCTGCTTGCACTATCCAGAGTAGGGTTAGTAATCACGTCAGTCAAGGCACAGTATAGACCATCCGGTTGGAAGAACTTACTATCCTCTCGTACTTTGTAGTTCTCCTCGGCAACTCTCAACACGTTCATATCCAGATCGACGATCGACATCCCCTCGGCGCGGCCTAGCTGCCCCAATGCCCCGAGATGCGGGACACCAACTTGACTCAGGCCCGCAAAGTTCGTTTCCTCCCCTTTCCCAGGTGGACCGCCGGCGTTGACGAATACGACAGCACAGGTGTTCTCGAATGCGCGAGCCACAATTGTACTATTTAGAAACAAGGCCTCGCCATCTGGGTTCAGGGCATAGCCCTCATCCGATATATCGCGCATAGTCCAGAATGCCGGCAAGCAGATGATTTGGGCGCCGTCGGCGATGAGCTCCCGGAAGGCCTCTGGAAAGGCCAAGTCCCAGCAGATAAGTAGACCAACACGCCCGAGAGGCGTATCAAAAGCTCTATGAGGTTCGTGAGCCGATGGTGCGAGGTGGCAGCGCTCTGGATGCCACAAGTTCTTCTTTTGGTACCGCGCAGCAATCTCACCGTTCGATGAGATGAAGTATGCGACATTCTGCAGGGAGTCGCCATCCGATTCAATGATGGTTCCCGGCACGATGGAAACGCCGAGTTCTTTTGCCACAGCCTGGTACCCCTGCAGGTATTTGAGAGAGTCTGCACATGAATCCTTAAACCCCGGCTGGTCAGGGACCCATGAGGTGAGATGGTATTCAGGCAATACGGCTAGGTGGCAGCCTTTAGTAGCCGCATCTCGTATAAAGGCCGTGGCTTTCTCGTAGTTCTGGGCTGGGGATAACGGCTATATCAAGTGTAAGCAAGTAGAGGTGCTTTCGGGGATGACGGCTCAGCAGTTCGAGGAGATCTGTACGCTGCGGGCTGCCTGGAATTGGGCCAACGGCGTCTTCTTAGAAGCGTGTGAGGGCTAGGTAGGGTCTTATATGCCGACCTTGAAGACTCGCAAGGACTCATGAACACTCACTGACCTTGGGGTGAAGCTGGATTAATGCGACCTTGTAAATGGATGCCATTTTCCGCTTCGCGTGATTTATACCGAGGCATTCCTAGACGTATATTTCATTCTTGGAGACCTAGACTGCCTTATCTTAAGAGTCGGGGGTAAGTAAAAATGCATCAAAAAGATACCCCGCTATTCCTGTATCAGATCCATATTTCTAAAAATAAAAGACCGTTTAGGGCCAAGTTATGTCCCTAAAATGGAAAGCTTTGCCGGCGAAGCTCCATTTCTTAGAGGTACGCTGTAAATCAAAGTGCAAGGCACTTCAATGTAAATTCTTCCTCTTAGCTACTACTACCTATACTCGGGGGAGACCCCTGGGACCCCCCTTTGCCTGCGGCACTGCCAGCGGCACTACCTAGCCAGCGTCCTAGTCGCCCTTTAGGGCTTCGAACCGCTATTCAGGAAGATTGCAGGCGAAGGCTGCGTAAGCCACAAATGTCGATTTAGAGTTGTGGGTGAGTTGCTTGGCATGCATAACCCAATCAGAGGGCCAGGATTTGTGGCTTGACCAATTAGAGGCTTGCGGACAAATATAGAGTTTTTGGACGACCGATATTAACATCAAGCTTTGCAAGAGCGACTGGGAGGCTTGCAAAGCTTTCCAATCATTTTATAGAGCCTATGGGCCTTTTGAACATGCGTGATGGCAAATTTTACATTGGCAGAATAACACGGAAAAGCACTTTGGGGTCCTATCCTGGTTCGTAGAGGTGCAACCGAATCAAACCGTTGTTTAGACGCGACCCCATGTACATGCACTATCGCGACCCAGTCCATGATGCCTTGGCAGCGGTCGAGCGAGGGTAAAGGCGATGACGTTCGTGTTGTTGGGTGAATCGCGAATTGCGCACCATATGACAGTATCAAAAGCCCGTCCTTCAAAGCAGTAAAGCCTCGTTATCAACTGCCAGGGTGTGGCCTCTTTGTTCAGGGACACCTGCGGTCATCGCCATCATCGATCCGGCTACGAAATGGTCCTGCCGAATCAATGATCTTCTGCAATCTCAGCAACCACGAATGCCATTAAATTTTGACAAAAGCAGCAACATCTTTGATTGTATGTATGTGAGAGCTGGGAATGCAATCGTGGTGAGTATAACTTCTCATGTTCCTCTTTACTGCTCCTTCTAGTTCATCACGCCTCCCGATTCCTTGCTCACGGAAGCCTCATTGCTGCGACTGGAACCGCCTCTATTTAGGTCAAGTGCACGTTGACTCGGCAAGAGAACTCGATGAATTCAATCGAGCTGGAGTCTGCGCTACCAACGCTACAGCAGAAGCCCGCCTGGCTCCTGCTAGGCTCTGGATAGTTGCCGCGACTAATGGCTATTGAGACATATTACACGGCTTGCCAGGATACAGGGTAATCATAGCCCAGTGTCTTCAATACAGGAAAGAGGCAGACGGTATATCCCCCCTCTTGTCTTGTGCCTCGCCTGGCTGTGAACTTAGCACAACATGGAAAGATACTTAAGTAAACATTCTGTGAATTTAATCGAGTATCCTCCCTACTTTTCACTAGTCAGACTTAACAGATCATAAACACCAATCATCATGGCAGCACTAACGACACTTTTTACACCTGCTTCTTGGTGCTCTGATCGATTCGCCGTTTTCGTTGACGACCATGCGCCTGGGACGAGCATCATTCCGCCCAGCAGCGGATGGGTAGACCCGTCTTTTACCAAATGCATACCAATGCAATACACGACCGCCTATCCGACCTTCAGTCCGGGCGTGTGCCCAGTTCATATGCAAATCGTCAAGCACACTTTCGACATACACGATGGCAAGACGATCTGGGAGGCAGCATGCTGTCAAAGGTAGTTACACTCTGCCCTAACCCTGAAGAGCCTGGAATTGACCATGTCAGCGGATTCTCTCCCATGTCTATTGACCCCCAGTACATGTGTACTTCAACCATCACGAGTCCCATGCCTTTCCTCCTCGATCCAGAGATATCCACTGCCGACGTATACACGACACTGGCGCCTGAGCTCTGGATTGAGCATGATCAGGTAACAGTGCAATGGGAACCGAGCGACCTAGAGCTCTTTCCCGTTGGTGTGGCCTCCCAATACAAGCTCATGATGGGCATCACAGCGCAACCGTCGACAGATAATGCCGTCAGCCCGACAGCAGAATCGGTCATGGCAACAACCCCACCAACATCAACACCGGTACCGGCACCGGCCCCGGCACTGACAACAACCTCGGTTTTGTGGCCAACTACAACTACCTCCCAAACCTCAACCTCATCAATTTCCACCTCGGAAACTCAATCACAGGTCACGCCCACGAATAATGGTAGATTGCACGACATAAGTGGCTCTGTCATCCTCGCTGTCATTTTGTTCGCTGTGGCGACGTTTTTCGTAGCGTAAGAGCCGGGTCAGTGACTGGACTGCAACCACTCTGGTGTGGTATTTTCTCTAAAACGGAGACATGGAAGCAGATTGTTTTTAACTTCCTCGGCGTTACCATCACGCTTCCCCAAGCACCCAGAGCAGTACATACTTAACAAGGTAGCGAATTCTCCAAAAGAATTTCCAATTTGTGTATTCCAGGCTTTGACTCATATGACTTCATCTTGTCACCATGTTGAATGATCGGTGATTTTCCCCGCAGCGGACCTTTTCTGCATCATGCACGCAACCTCGAGACCGGCGCCCAGGCGCGGGGTGCATCCCCGCAGCACCGGCATTTAACATAAGGCAGATCGTCATCGACTTGAATTCGGAATTGGCCCAGAAACGGGGATCCAAGCCGCCTATAGCCACGCCAATAGGAGTTGAACCTGTCCCCAGAAATCTGCAAATTAATAATTCCACAGCCAAGGGCTGGAAAACTTCTCCGCGGTCATTAGATGGGACATGCCACCCAGATGCAGCCTACACGACATGAATGAACAACAGACCAACCGCACAGTAAGAATCACAGGGCACAGAGTAGATGAGGAACATGAGCATTTCTCTTGATATGACGCCAGTATACTGAAATAATTTTTCTCCAGCGCTAGAAAGAGTAATCATGTGTGTAGATTCCGGACGATATGCTTATTAATTTTTCCCTGTGTCTGTCGCCGCTGCAGAGGAGACGAGCCGCTGCTTCTATGTCCGCTACGTCTTCTCCACCTTAATCCAACCTTGGGTGTCGCCGGCATCATCGCATCATGTTCTTCGCCCAAGCAGAGAGCGGGCGTCGTTGCCTATAACCCCGAGGAATTCCCCGGCAGGTCCCACGCGAATACGAGGCAGCCGCATGATATGTTCTGTGGTTGCATATAAAGTTTCCACAGGGCCTCTCTTTGCTGGTGAAATACCCTTGGATCGCATTGTGAGATTGATTTTGAGCACCTCGGAGAAAGGGTCTT